GTTAGTTATAGTAAAGCTTTGTTTCACATAATTTCAACTTAATTAACTTCTTGATTTCAATCATACCAATCGGATACACAGCATGACTCAACATAAGTTAATGTCAGTTTTGTATTTATCTGTAAAAGGCCCACTGTGCTTCAATTTCCTTTTTTCAAAAACTGTTTTATTTTTGGTATCTTTTTACAATTTCCTAAAAAACTCATTTCCATAAACTAACCTTTGGCGAGTTTGTAATGTTGGCAGTTCGTATTATTATATTGAATTAGTATTTTGTATGGAAGTCAAAATACTGCTGTGTTTACATTTTGCAATGACGAAACATTGTCATGATCAATGAGTCAATGCTTCATGGTCTACAACTGTCAGATCTCCCCACTCACATGCGACAATTTATTATGCGTATAAAGGAACTAAAGCCAATGAAATAAAAGACCTTGACGTAAATATTGTCTTGATCCAGTATGGATTGAGTCAACGGTCGACGGTCTTTACCAGTTTAATGAAATAACTAGTATAACTGAACCAAATATATGTACTAATGTATGTATTATTACCAGTCCGAATGCTTCTTATATAAGAACAAATTAAACACGAAGGGAGTTTTGTCATCGAAAATTGGCATTGAATCAAAGATACTGATTGTTTTAAAAATTAAAGTAAATATTACTTTCTGTTTTGTTTTGTACATTAAAAATAAATTATAATTGTTTTCGTCAGGAACGGATAACAAACAAATCATTTTACTTCATATTGTGTATTTATCAAAGGTATTGTTTTGCAGACTGATTCCCCGAGCATCATTTGAAAAAAAAACACTAATAATTACACGGGGAAGGAAGTGTTACACGAAGGATGGAGTTCTTATGATAACTTGTTCAGGAGTTCTTGTGATAACTGTCACGGAGTTCGTCGGAAAACATCTGTATATACTTCAAAAACACTCGTTAAAAATGGTTATTTTGAATTCATATTTCAAAAATGAGTTTTAGGTGCTAAATTAAACTTTAATAATTAAGCTTGTCTTACATCTTGACAAGTATTATGTGTCAAAAAATAATTCACAGGCCATTTTTAATCGCCTCTTGCTACAAATCTGGTAGTTTTCAGTAAAATTTCCAAATTCACAAGTATGGACCGCTCCGATTATTTCCGCCTATTGCGCAATCCCTAGTGATTGTTGCTATGCCTCACAAGCCAGCATCCAAAATGGCGGCCGTATCAACAACAACCGGCTCGCTAGAAGATGTGCCCGATAATATATGTATTAGTTTTCTACCTAATCACAGAAGTCGTATGGAAAGGATTATAAAAAGAGGTTTAAATTACTATCTTCAAGGCTATGTCCATCAAATTAAGGTTCATATTGACGATAAACCCAAGGTAAAGGTTGTTGCTCGGTGTTGGAGATCAATGAGGAAAAACGAAAAGCCGCACACTCTACACATTGAGATTCTTAAAGATACTATAACAGAGTCGTACTGCTCTTGTAAGGTTGGGTAAGTAATCAAGTACGTAAAATTGTCAACAACTTAAGTAGGCTTTCTTTGGGGATTCTGTATTTCTCTATTTTAGAATAAAAAAAATGAATTGCACCCCTCCTACTTTCCAAAAAAAATAAAATAATAAAATAAATTAAATAAATAAAAAATATAAAAAAATGTATATACTATACACCATTATGTAGATCTATTTATTATATAACTATGTCGGATTTTTTTTAAAAATTAATTCTCTTCAGTAAAGAAAAAAGATATCGTAGACAGAAGAGTCATGGTGTATTTTTTCTGTCAACTTAATCAAAACAGATCTAATGATAACAAAAATGATCATCATCATCATCATCATCATGATTTATCACCATCATTGTTGAATCACTGTTTGATACAATAATAATGTGCAGTCTTGTATATTTCAGATTAACAGGCCACTGTTCCCACATTATTGGTCTAGTGAAAACCCTTCAAGGGCTGAAACTACACAACATCAGTAATGTACCTGACCAGTTGAGTTGTACAAGTGTGCCCCAGCAATGGCATGTTCCAAGAGGAGAGAAGATTGAGCCTGTCCCACTTAACCATGTTGTGGTGGCCAAAGCTTGTGAGACAAGGAAGAGAAAACCAGTTTTATGCCAAGTTGACACTCAGTACAAGTAAGATTTTAAACAAAGTACAAAAGTAAATACACATATGTTTTTGAAATTTCATTCTTTATTTATATTATATAATTATAACAAAAATCTATATAGGCGTTTTACTTATATACATTTTAACAACAATGTCAGATACTTGTACATTTTACATGTATAAAATTTGTAAAGAATGTTTTAATTTATGAAATCTTTCACATAAATTTACAGGCTTCCAGAGGTTACCAGCAATGATATAGAGCAGTTAAAAGGGGCCAAAGGCACACCTCTTGAATACCTTCTCTCATCAAAGAGGCCATTAGTTACAACAGATCTTGGTCAAGTTCAGCTTGGTTCATTTCTGTCATATCAGGTAATATATTTTTACATACAATATTTTAACATCTATGTGATATAGATAAGATTTAATTGAAGATACCCTATGCTCATTCTTGGGTAAAATGTTTTAATCACAGAAATTTATTGAAATCTATGATATTCTTACTGAATATGTTGAATTTGGATAAAATATTAAATAAACTATGTATAGGAAGCTGCATTCCCTTTAACAGGTCAAGTAAAGTTGGTCTTTTCTTAAAAAAACTGCCAGATTTTGTAATGACACTATACATATATATTCATATTGTGACCACCTATAGTATGTAGCATTTTAAACATAACATATCTATTTTGTGTGAAGTCAATACATGTTTATTTTATATTTACTGTGTACTAATTATCAATATTTTCTAATATCAAATTTGAGCATAGTATATCTTTAATACAAATTCAGCCAAAATCAATCAAGTAATAATATAACTACTTATTTGGCAGTAGTATGTTAACATTTGTTAAACAAAGTTATTGCAACTCAGACAGTCATTTGTCTTTTACAAATATTCTCTGATGTAATGTAAGTATTGCACAAACAGACCAGATCTTATTAGCTTGTTTAAATAATGATGTAGGAATTTTATGAGACAACAATTTATATGTCTTCACTTTAGCTATTACTCTTTCAACATGAACTCTGTGTTTGGCAATTTTTTGAGTTAAATAAGTATCAGATGAAGACATTTGTGATGAACAAGAAGAAAATGGGGGAATGTTTAACACAAGGCCAAGTTTATTAAGTTCCTCTTGTATTGTAAATCCTTTATCAGCCATTATACCATCACCTGGATTAATGTAACCATGGTTTAACAAATCTTTCAATATGGCATAAAATCCACTTTCTTCACAGATCATTTTGTCTGATATTGAACCAGTAAAAAGCTCAGAAATAAAAATTACAGATCCACTTGGGTCACACCCAATTAAAGCTTTAAGAGTAGTAGATGATTTGTAATCACTGTACATTTGACTTTGAAGAGCTAATGCATTTGGTACTTGAGTTTTGAATTCTGTTCCATCTATCATAATTAAGGTTATAGGAAAATCTTTTCTAAATTCTGCTGGCATTCTAGATATAATATCATCCCTTGGGGGCCACAGTGAAATCTGACCAAATTTAAAATATAAAATATCTAAGAGTTTGTTAAATACAATGCCTGTTGACTGCAAAGATAAACTAAATCTCATTGCCAAATCTTTCAGTCCAAAATCATGCCTTAATCTGCATAGTACAAGAAGAAGTGCATCTTCATTTGATAGTAGCTTAGTGTCAGTCCTACCATATTTAACAGTTTCTTGTGAATTTGGAAACAAAAAAGAAAACAAAAATAAAAAGTTGACATAAGTTATTCCAGTGTAATATTTAAACAAGTTTTTCATATCGTTTTCCCTATTTCTAATTCCTTCTGCAGAAAATGGTTGTTTCTTTTTCATATCTCTTTCCAGATGTTGTAATTTTGATTTCAGTCTATCAATTTCTTTGTCTTTCTCCAATAATTGAATTTTTAGCTGCAAGTTTTCCTCATGTAGATGAACATCTTGATTCTCTGAAATAATATATATGCATTTTGATTTCAGACAAGAAATTTGAAGTCAATGATTCCTGTAACAACAAATGGCTGTGGTAACCTCTGTGTCACAAACTCATCACAAATTAGACTGCCTGAAAAGTTTCAGCACTTGATAAGTCATTATACAATAACAGATCCACAGACATTAGAGCAATGTACAAGAAACCAGGCAATGTCTGAAACATGGCATCAAGCTAGACAAAATAGGCTAACAGCATCAAACTTTGGTGATATCATGTTAAGGAAATCTTCCCCTAATGAAAAATTACTGTCACGTTTATTTTCTACCAGTAAAGATATTCATGCCCCATCTATATCTTATGGGAAAAGAAATGAGAGCAAAGCCAAGTCTAAATATCTAGCTCAGTTTCCTGGAAGACACATTCATGAATGTGGTTTTGTTGTAAATAATGAGTTTCCATTTTTGGGTGCAACCCCAGATGGAAAACTCTGTGATAATGGAAAAGTAGGGATTATAGAAATAAAATGTCCCTATAGTGCCAGAGACTTGACTGTTGCTGATGCTTGCTGCCAATTAAATAATTTCTTTTTACACACTGATCAGAATGGCCAGGTTGTACTGAAATCAAATCATGCATACTATGCCCAGGTTCAAGGGCAGCTCATGATTACAGGTAGTTCATTCTGTGATTTCATTGTATATTGTCCAAATGAGTCCGACTTGTTTGTTCAGCGTGTTGAACCAGATGTTGAATTTATGACAAATATGCTAAATGTGTTAGCCAGTTTTTTTGAACAGTATGCTCATCCTTTCTTACATTGCAGTCATGGAAATGTATAGTTTCAAACTATATTTAATGTGTGAATGACATATTGCAGCTTATATGGCCATGCATAAATAACTGTTTGCAATATAACCTTTACATAGAAGTTTGGGTTATATAAGTTTACACTAAATTATACTTGGCCATATAAATATGATATACATGTGTTACATATTGACATTTGATTAATGTGTCATGACCAATACCTTTGTCTGTTTGGCAGCCAACTTCACATTGTCCTCTTAGTTCATAATTTCTTTGATTTCCATCATCTGTAGTTGTTTGTACATTTCTGAAATAATTAAAGAAGATGCATTAGTATCAGTAATTATGACTGTTTCATAATTTACAAAATTTATATTTGAGCATGGAGTGAAGTTCATTCCTATTAGAAACAATTATCAGTTTGTTTTATTATAACATACCCTTATTGTTACAAACACACATGTAATATTTAGTACTGTGTTAATTAGCATACTATTGAGTAAAAAGGCTTCTGTGTAGGCTAAGACAAAGATGCATGGACTCTCTTTCAAAATTTTCATGTCAATGTGACAAAATTCTACTTAAGTTACAGTTGTGTACAGTCAGTTTAACAAGTTTTTATTTATCTATTAAATATACTGATGTAATAAATTTGTTGAATTTTATTTCACTTTTTGATTTTACAGATATGTAAACAAATTCAGATGATTAAAATAAAAAGTGCTATTGTTCAAAGGCTTATCATTAATGAATAAATACAAAATTTGAAATTTTAACCTTACTCTTTGTTTTTTTCTTGTTCAACCAAAATGTCAAATGATATAGGTGCTTCCAAGTCCAACCGCCTGCGCTTGGGTGGTGGTCTGGTAGGAGATGCCAATGATCCATCAGCTGGCAGGGGATCTGGATATTTATCAGTTGGCCCATTTTCTCCCATGAAGTGCTGTAATTATGTGAATAAGTGATTACTTGTGTTAAAAAAGAATAAATAAAAGTAACAATACTGGAGGTAGAGCTCTATATGACATATAAATGAAACAAAAGATCTGTATACAGTAACCATTTATCCAGCTGAAAGGGTAATGTCATAATTTATAAAAATGGCTTTTCAGTATTTTTTGTATGCTTAACAAAATAACCAAATATTATTTTACTTATTTGGTTAAAAGATCAGTCCTCTAACAAATAATATTATTTTCATGGTCACTATTTTTTTTGTAACTTATAGCCTACCACCCATGAAGTTAGCCATTTAATGCATGATGCATCAACATATGCTTTTTTTACTGAATTGATAATGAATGTTCTGACAAAAGTCAAAGAGAAAATGTATTATGAAAATATAAAAAAAGTTTGGAGCAGTTTATAATTATTTTTAAGGCTGGCCAGTTTTAGGCTCAACATTATTCAGGCACAGACTATAGTTCATTAGGCTAGTTCATAAGTTGCTTTGAACTGTCAAAATAAACTGACAACAACATGTATCCACAAAGTGGCACACATCAAACAAATCAAAAGCCAGCTAAATCATTTCATGTTTAAATCAGCATTTCTTACAGATTCACTTACCGTTGAACACACGACCTTATTTTTGTTAATCCTGCTGACATTTAACTGTTCATGCGGTCGGGCGCATGCCTTTATCCACCGTAAACACTTCTCAAATTGAGTTTTAGGGTTAGGAAATGTTATGAATCTGACCCCAATCATCTTATCAGGATACCTGCAATCTGCATCGCATGTTCCCCAGGCACATATACGCACCATTTTGAATAAAACCGCGGTATTTACTTTTGATGTAGCAGTTGCCAAGTGAAAGCTTGTGAGCACAAGATGGCGGGTAGCAACAAGCAATACCGCACTGAAGTAAACGGATCACTTTCATTGGTTAAAAATATCCGTCGCGGAACGGTCCATTGACCTGTTTATTTCTGGTCTTCATCCTTGCCATATATAATTACCTAATTATAATACAAAATTGCAAACATAAAGCACCGGCTAACATATTTATATCCGATTTTTCAAATGTCCCGGAGTTCTTGTGATAACACTGAAGATGTCACAGAGTTCTTATGATAACTTTTGTTTTTGCCAGTGTGTTTCTTGCGCTAAATCACGGCACGTTTTAGTGTTTTTTATTATTCAATGAGATTGTAAATTATTATGAAATGTAGTGCGCAAATAATAGGATATATAATGTTGGTTTTGAGTGATATTATTTCTTACCCCCGTTTCTTTTTCATAGTATTTTTTTTTGTTTGACGCAGATTTCGTAGACTGGAAAAAGGATTTACTGTACTGATTTCCCAGCAGTTTCCGGTTCCTAGCAGTATTCTGGCCCTTCATCCAGTCATACAGTCTATTTTTTCTCAGTTAAGTATCTATGTTACTGCATCAATCAGAGAAACATTTGTTTTCTATGTAATACAGCAGTTACAAGTAAAATGGTTTCCTGTGGGGAACATTTTTAATGATATAAAGATATTTCATTTAACTATTTTCGACATTGTTTGGGGGGAATAAATAAACGGTTTTATCAGGAATATATTTGACAATTATCGATCAATATAGAAGAAGGTCTTTGGAAACTGGTGACGTTAATGACTGGAGAAGGTCGAACATAAAACAATTATTTCTTTTTAAGAAAATGATTAAATAGGCCTACCATTTTATGAAAAATTCCTAGCAAAAAAAAGTAAACACACAACTTTACGCAGAAAATATCTCTATTTATTCTGGCAGATGCCACTACGAATATTCTAATTTTGTATATGTTCACTGTTCAGTATAAACAATTTATTGTTTGTAAAATTTGAGATACATATTAAACATTGATAATTTTTTCAAACACATCATTCAAGTTTTTCCACCTTAAACGGTAAAATAATTGTAGAAAATTAGAAATATCACGTAATAGTTTGTTGTTTTTAATTAGGTGTCACTCTGACTAATTCCCTAGAGGTAAATCCGTAACGTACCGGCAAACGGTATTTAGCCAGGTTTTCGAAAAGGTCAATTAAACCAATCATGTACGGTTTACAGATCACATGCTCCTCCATGTACCGAAAAACAGGTCACGTGCTCCTCCATGCCTCAAAAGTTAAAACGCGTACCAATACCCTGCGGTCTCCAGACCGCAGGGAAATAATAGTACAGCGATTAAATATGTATCAAAGTTTTTTCTGTTGTTTTAAGTTACATGAGAGAACTTGCGACACTTACAAGCAACACCTGGGCAATTCTAATTTGAATGCCAATGCACAATAACTGAAATCCCATTCTAGGTAAATCACAACTTTTAAAGAATATATTTGCAGACGACACGGAAAAGTTTGGGAAGTTATATCTACTTAGTATTGCTTATTGGTACTGAATTATATGCAAAATAAAAAAGGTCCGAAAAAAAAACTGTGATGAAATTTTGAATAAATGTGTGCAAATGTGTGTTACATCGCAGGCTTTTATTCCATTAAAATGTAAAATAAAAGAGCAACATTAAAACATGGTAATGCTGGACAGGTACCTAACTTTGTTCTGTCAAAGTTTGCACTCTTCGGGAGACATATTTTCATTTTATTTGTTAAAAGGTGCGATTTGGGGCCGGGAACTGCTATGAAACCAGTAGGGCATTTATGTACGTGATAAAATGCGCTTTGAAATACTCAAATATGATATTTTCATGTATATTGTTCTGTCGATAGTTGATGAGTATTTCCCCTATGTAATCTTAGTGGAGGAACTTTGCTTCTTTTGCTATTATGATAACAAAAATATATAGTCAAACTTAGTTCGCTCGAACCTGGAGGGACAGTTCAAATTTGTTCGAGAGATCGGTAGTTGAGTTTTTATCATGTATCGTACTTTTGTAAGACACAGGTGTGAAAATTATCCTGGTTATATACTTATTTATTATGGTATAAAATAATACAAATTACCTAGACCTTAGGTAAGGGGAGCATGGCTATATATTGTCTGCTTAAGAAAGGTGGTGAAACTGAGAACAACGTGTACGTTATGACACATTTTTGTTTTGTGGTTTAACCCATTATACTGCTGAATATCAGTGGCCGCTGGTTCAATTATTACTGTAGATGATAGCCTATCACCTATTTATTCTTTGCAGACAAAGACCAACGTTTTCTCCACATTTTTGTGCAAAGGATGATCGTACTGCATTTCATAATGATTTATAATCTTATTAAATGTTAATAAACGCCAAAACGTGCCGTGATTTAGCGCAAGAAAGACACTAGCAATAACAAAAGTTATCATAAGAACTCTGTGACATCTTCAGAGTTATCACAAGAACTCCGGGACATTTGAAAAATCGGGTATAAATTTGTTAGCCGGTGCTTTATGTTTGCAATTTTGGATTATAATTAGGTAATTATGTATGCGAAGGATGAAGACCAGAAATAAACAGGTCAAAACTTGTGAATTGGCAAGTAATTTGGAAAATTTACTGAAAACTACCAGATTTGAAGCAAGAGGCGATTAAAAATGGCCTGTAAATTAGGCTTTGACACATAATACAAAATGTAAGACAAGCTTAATCATTAAAGTTTAATTTAGCACCTAAAACTCATTTTTGAACGATGACAATAACCATCTTTAACGAGTGTTTTTGTAGTATATACAGATGTTTTCCGACGAACTCCGTGACAGTTATCACAAGAACTCCTGAACAAGTTATCATAAGAACTCCATCCTTAAGCTTCGTGTAACACTTCCTCCCCCGTGAATACTACATGTAATTAAAATCCAATAGGGAAAATAGTATGTTTGTTTTATAAAGAATAGAATGTCTGTTAAAGTGTTTATTATTTAATAAATTCCCAGTTGAATCCACATTCATAATAAATAGTATTATGCCTTCATGGTTAAATATCAATGTAATAAAAATAATGTTTGCTGTAGGAAATTAATGTCATATCCATGACTTTTTCAAATATTCTTTGTTTCTACCTATCACACGGTTAATAAATAAACAAATGGGATACATTAGGCATCAATTAAGACATCTAAATAAATCTCACAGTATCTAAAAGGTTGAAGAATTTGTAAGCAAGTAGGGAATAAAATATGATATAAATTTATGCATTTGATAATCAAATCTGTAATAGCCCGTTACCTAACCATTGCTCTAATGGTAAATTAACAGACAACATATTATATAAATCAATTTTGAAACAGTGAGGAGACTATAAATACATATTAACACTACTTAGACTAAGAAAGCTATCATTAAGTCGATAAAACGAGACATTCATAACATTTATCTTGTTTAATTATTTATAACTTCAACAACTGTTTTAAAACGAGACAATATTTTATAAGGTATTGCTTTAGAAGATCGAAAATGGCACTTTTTGATGGGAATGTAAATAAAAAATGGTCATTGTAGATCGAAAAATATTTAAGGGAAACATAAGTAGATTCTAATATAAGTATTTGACATAAAAGTATATTAAAATCTGCTTCTTTTTTCCGTAGATATTTTTTCGGCAACTTTAGATATATTTAAAAAGTTAAGCTTCATATTTTTCTCCAACTTGATATCAAAATTACGATAACTTTTATGATTACAGATATGAAAGACATGATTACATTCAGAATACAAATTAATTGATTATTTGAGATGAGAAGTATTAGATATGGCTATAACTGTGGTTTGTATGAGCTTTACTGTATTCCTGTGCTTAATTTTGGATAATAATTAATCGGTAAGGTTGTGTTAGCTTTACAGTATTACTTTGGACCATCACCGTCCCTTATTTTAAATAATGAACAATTAGATAGGGCTATAATTCTGGTTTGTGTAAGCTTTACTATATTCCTTGCGCAATTTCTGGTCTTATTTGAAAGTAGAAATATTAGATAGGGTTATGACCGCGAGTTGTGGGAGCTTTATTGTATTCCTTGGTATTATCACTGTGCTTAGTTTGGGACAAGAAATACAAAATATGTACATCACCGTTATTAATTTATTTATTAATAAGTTATTAATTGATACTTTCAGAGTGCGTTATATTTGATAACGAAACCCCTATCAGGTAGGGCTAGTTACCGTGGGTTGTGTCAGCTTCGATGTATTTCTTTTACTTCTATGAAGAATGTAACTTTTTTATACATTTTTGTCTGTGTAAATGTTTTTAATGTTCACGCTTTATATTGTATAACCATGTAAATTTAATGCAACTGGTTTAAGTCAATTAATGCTTATTTATTTAAGTCAATTATGTTTAATCTGAAAGTAACTGAGCAATTATATAGAAGTTGTAGCTTCACTTTATAATATACAGGTAATCGTAATTCATTGTAATAATTCCGTAGAAGGAAGGTTTGAAAACCTGCTTCCGAAATGTAAATTATTGTAACTCTATCATCTAAAAAGAACCTTATTTGTACGATTTTC